CCCTGTATGGTAACTGTTTTGCAATTTTCGTTCTTCTTATGGTATTTATTTCCGCCCAAAGATGTGTTAAAACTAGTGTTGAAATTCGGAATTTTCGACGCTTATAACTTTTAAACATACTCTTTTTTACTTTTTTGTTTCCATACAGGGCTAGATAATGATGAGACAAATTGAAATAATTTTTTATTTTGAACGTACACCATCAAACAGTGGAGTAATCGCCGGACTACGTTTGTATGGAAGAATAAGCGACTAGTGTACCCTTAACCTAACACTACCCAAAGAATTCTGAAGAGACCAAAACAGGTGATAATCTGATTGTGCAGAGTCAGGTGTATATAGTGGATGTATTAACACTTCCCAACCAAGCTCTCTCAATTTTTACTGGGTGGACCAAGAAGAAGTGTGCAAAAAGTGACTTTCAGTAAGTATTGTTTATAATCTACATTGAATAAAAAAGTTCCTGTTTCTGTTTCTGTGTGGTCTGGCGTTATCATGATGAAAGACCCAAAGACTATATAACCAACAACCAACCAGTGGTCTTTCACATAGATAATATGGTTATATTCTCTATGTGAAAGACCACTCCTTTTCTCTTGATCAATCCCGGCTGTTTTTTCTCAATGTCTTGCTAAAGTCTTATTAAATCGATGGTTTTGCCCGGCGCTAAAAGCTCACAATAAACGATGCCCTTCCAATCCCACCGTACTATTGAGTTACGTGCACTTCGTACTAGAGAAGCTATTCCAAACAAAAAATGTGCACTACTCTATCTTCGCGCATACGCGGGGTCAGTAGAGTCGCGCATGCGCAATTGATATAGTAGAATGGTCAATGTATGTAAAATTTGTATATATTTAGATTGTAATTTACAAATATGTCATTATATATATATAATGACTAAATAATTTGAGCTCTAATTAGCATCACGTCCAAATGGATGCAGACTCCGTGCTACAACGGGTCCCATCCGCAGAGATCGTGATGATTGATAATCTTAAGGCCCACTACGCTAAATGGCTTGGTTCCTGTTTAACCGATCATGTTTATAACTTTCCTTTAACATATGGTCTGAGTTCACTATTTAACTAGTTGTAGTTACCTCGCCTACGCGGATCCTATCGGAGGCAGAACCCAGCCATGGTTTGGGCACTCCTGCAAAATTGCACCATACACCATAAGCAGGAGACAAGAGTGCTACCAGGCCTTGGCTAAAAAATACCAGCGTTCTTAAAAATAAGTATAATTCCGCATCCAGTTCCTTCAAAAGTGTCATTAAGAAGGCAAAGACAGAGCACATCGGCATAATTGGTGAGAAATTAGTTCGACTTCCTGCGGGAACACTTGCATTCCGATCTCTCGCCAAGGCTGTCCAAAGGAACTTCTGGCAACCATCTCTTCCATCTCTGCACAGAGAGTACGACTCACTGGCCCACGCCGTGAAGGACAAAGCCGATTTGCTGAATTGACTCTTCAGCACGAGGGCAACATACCGCCGACCATCCCGCGGTGTGATTGCTCCAAGCAGGATGTGCTGTTTATTCAACGCTCAGTGCGCAGAGCACTCTTCTCCCTGGACGTCAACAAGTTGATTGGGCCCGATGGCGTCCCTCCTATTGTGCTGAAGACATAGGTTTCGGAATTAGCACCGGTTTTAACGCGTCTTTTCTAGTACAACTGATTTCGTGCACCAGATCCCTAAAAAGGTAATAGCTCTGATCAGTCCAAGTATAGGCCTGTCGCCATTACCCCCCCCCCCTTGTTCTCTAAAATAATACAGTACATTTTTAACAGCCAGCTTATGCGGTACCTCGAGGCTCACCGGCTGATTAGTAGACCGCCAGTACAATTTCCGTCGCAGTCGCTCGGCTGGTAATCTTCTGGGTTACCTAATTCATAAATAAGTGGAGGCAGTAGAGTCCTATGGGGAGGCGTTGGCCGTAAGTTTGGATATAGCGAAGGCCTTCGATAGAGTTTGGTACAAAGCGCTTCTTACGAAGCTTCCTTCCTATGGGCTTCCCGAGAAATTGTGAAATTGGATCACCAGTTTTGTTACACATCGGAGCATCAAGGTCATAGTAGACGGTGCATGCTCCGATCATAAGCTTGTTAACTCCTGGTGTACCACAAGGCTGCGTGCTATCACCAATGCTGTTTCCTTTGCATACCAATGAACCGGTAACATTCACTGCTATGACGACACTGGTGATGCTTTATACGCTGGTCGTACCAATATTTTTCGGAAAAACGTAGCCGAGTACCGGGACAACCTTGTGTCTGAAGTCAAGACTTTGTTGAACAAAGTCTCGGACTGAGGGTAACTAAATCTAGTTCAGTTCAATCTCCTGAAGACACAAGTTGGCGCGTTTACCGCTAAAAAGAACCCCTTTGTCGTATCTCCTCAGTTTCAAGACACAGCAGTATGCATCAGCTAGTTTCGGAATCCTGGGCGTCGTCGATTTGAATGTCAATATAGCGAGTGACATGCAGTTTCGTAGTCACTTGGAAGAGAATGCCAAATTGGCACCAGAGCGAGACAGTATTTCATCACCGCCTGTAACTTTACAAGGCGCAAGTTCGGCCGCACATGGAATACTGTTCCCATCTCTGGGCTCATTCTAGCTCTCATTATAACGTGATAGAACCACGGTGCAACTATATTATTGTTATAGCACGAATAGGTCGGCTCGACCGGGGAAGTACCACGCTCTCGCAGAATACCAAGTAAAATAACAGCTTAGTACTGCTGTGTTTCGTATGGTGAGTGTAGAGATCCGGAGACACTTTTTTACTGAAAATGAGGCATTCCATCTTAGTCCTCAAGGGTGACAACGCATCTGCATTTTGATTTTTAACCAAGGATAAATGTAGATGTCTTTGGGCCAAGACCTGATGGTAAGGGGATGCTGTCCCCTTACCATCAGGTGGACTGAGGTGGACGAGAGATAGATATATTCGAAGTCTAAGGAAATTAATATATGTATTAACTCTGTCCTCTCAATTTATTTATGAAAATGTAATGTGCGTACACAAAAATGAAAGAAGTTTTGCAAAAATAAGTGGTATTCATTCTGTAAATACTAGGTACAGACACAAGCTAGTAGTACCAGCTACTCGACTCCGCCGAGTCAGTTGTTCATTCTTGGTATGGAGTGTAGAAGTAAGGAGTACAGACAGTGTATTAAAAAGTGTCCATAAAAAACCGTTAAATAAGGGCGACACTCTCGTATTACTACGGGGTATACTTTAAAGAACGCACCGAAAAATATAAGTGGGATAGACGACTTTTTCAAGGTTATATTTACTAAATAAAATTATTTTAGATTTTAGAGCTACTGAGCAGTTTAGCAGCACACTTAAACCGTCGACAACTGCTAAGTTCATTTCATCCCTTGTTTTTGAACTGTTATTTACTGCAGATGGCCACTTTTTCAACTATTCTACTATGGGAGTTGGTACTCCTGGCTTCTACACTCCATAATTCTTGGGGCGATGTATGTACAACAAAATCCTAAAAAATATACAAAATTTGACATATACATAGTTTAAAAACTTTATTATTATTAAACTAAGCTTGTATAAAAAGGGTTATTTTAATATTAACCTTTCAAACACCACTGGTCGGATCCGACCACGGCGATATTCCGTCAAATCCCAAGCGGTCGGATCCGAAATTTTAAGCCATAAAAACTTATATTAAGAGACTACTTTTCTATGAAGAAGTTTAGCATTATAGAATCTATACGAAATTCTCCATCCTGTGGTGGAAGGGTGATCGCTACCAAGCTATTTCTAATATGTTTTGTGCTGTTAATTGTAACATACATGATTGTAAGCAGTTATTTAAAAGAAATAGTCCCGCTGGGTTTCTTACTGGTTCTTCCCAGGACAGAGGTTTTTTGGCGAACCAGTGGTAAATGAAAAAAAGTGACCTTCAATAAGTATTATTTATAATCCATATTGAATAAACAAGTTTCTGTTTCTGTTACTCTGCGTGATAGAATTGAAGACATGAGTGGATGAAGGAGTTATGTAGCATTATAATGATTTTCATTTTTTTTTGATAAATGAATATTTTATATGCATACAAACTATATAAGACCTTAAATCAGCGTGATTAAAGCTTGGTTTTAGAAATAGCAAGTGATGAAGGAGATATATACGAAGAAAAAATGGCAATCACCGTGAAAGAAAGTTATATGGGCACTTAGCGTATTCTCTAATTTAAAATTATTTTTATCTATGATTTTCTGAAGCGGATGAAGAAGGTAAATACGAGTAGACGCATCGTCGCAGTCGCACTGCGTTGTTATCAAAGACATTTAATTGTAGTAGTAACAGACCGGACATCAGCAACAAAATGGTCATCTGTTACTTTTGACCTATAGGATATATTTCGGATTTATGTCATTTAGTCTTAGTAACATTGGCGAAAGGTCAAGGCGCATTCTTTTCCTAAATAAAAAAATATTTTTAAATAAAATGTACCCGTTTGTGCATTAAGGTATTGTAAGTCCCGATATGGAGCAATAACTGAATGTTATTTCGATTTATTATCGCAAATATAATGTATATTCATCTAATAATTTTTAAATTTTATTATTTTTGGTAAATTGTTTTAGAAGATTTATCATTATTGTAATCTGTATTATCACCTGGAATGCCAATGGGCTGACCGGCAGACGGAAAGAACTTGAGTTATTCATAAACACTGAGAATATTGATGTTGCCCTGATATCTGAAACAAGACTTACACCTAGATCACATATAAAGTTCCATAACTATACGATCTATAGAACCGACCATCCTTCTGGAAATTCTCATGGCGGCACTGCAGTGATACTGAAAAATAACATAAAGCATTACCTTCTCGAAGTACAAAATAGAAAAAATTCAGGCAACATCAATTAAAATCCACAAAAACACTGAGACAACATTCACTGCAATGCCCTCCACGATCCAAAATCGAGGCTGATGAGTTCAAGCTGTTTTTCAACAAATTGGGCCCAGTATTTATCTGCGGAGGAGACTGGAACTCCAAGCACACTTTCTGGGGATCAAGACTGATCAACCCTAGGGGCAGACTGCTATATAAAGCCACTCTAGATCTCAATCTCGAATGTATCTCGCACGGAGAACCAACGTACTGGCCAACGGACTATAACAAAGTACCAGATTTGCTAGACTTCTATATTTCAAAGAATCTTGGGCAAAACTATTTACAGATTGAAAAATGTGAAGATCTGTCATCAGATCATACTCCAGTCATTTTAAATATTTATAAACAGGCCATTTTCCTTAAGCCACTCCCCAAGATCTACAACAAACATACCAACTGGGACCAGTACAGAGAATTTATACGTAGTAACATTGACCTAAACATAAGTCTAAAGACAAACGATGAAATCGAAGCCGGCGTTGAAAAATTCAACAGCATTGTACACACGGCTGCCACCGTTTCCACTCCTAAAAATAGGAAATCAAAAACAAAACAAAAGGAATACCCCAGAAACATAATCGCAAAGGTCAGTGAAAGACGCAAATTAAGAGGAGAATGGCATAAAACTAGATATCCTTCCGATAAATCTCAGCTAAACAGGGCAACGAAGGAACTAAAAGACATGATTAAAGAGCATGAAAATCGTTGTGTACAAAGTCATCTATCTCAACTCACATCACAAAAGGATACAAATTATTCACTGTGGCGCGCAACCAAGAACCTTAAGCAACCAAAAGACCACATCCCGCCTCTGAGAAAACTTGATAGAAGCTGGGCTAGGACTGATGTAGAAAAAACAACAGCATTCGCAGTACACCTAGAAAAAGTATTTACACCACTACCTTGTTCCAACCCCGATAATGACGATGACATAGCGAATTATCTACAGTCTCCAAATCAATTATGTCCCCCATTAAAAGCAGTAAGTCCTAAAGAAATAAACCGGGAGATAAAATGTCTTTCACCCAAAAAAGCTCCGGGGTACGACCTATTGGACTCCGTGCTGTTAAGCAATCTTCCGAGGAGTGGCATAATATATCTTGTTACACTCTTCAATTCATCTATAAGACTCTCCCACTACCCGGGACAGTGGAAAATTGCTCAAGTAGTAATGATCCTCAAACCTGGAAAGCAGCCGGAAGAAGTCTCATCCTACACACCAATAAGTCTCCTTCCGCTGGTGGGGAAATTGTTCGAAAAAGTTATCCTCAATAGAATGCAATCTCATCTGAATTCTATTCTTCCTGGGCACCAATTTGGATTTCGACAAAGGCATGGAACCATTGAGCAGGTTCACAGATTGACAGACACCATCGGTTATACGCCTGAAAATAAGAAATATTGCTCGGCTGTGTTTCTGGATATAAGTCAGGCATTTGATAGAGTCTGGCACGATGGCCTCTTATTCAAGATCAAAAAACAGCTGCCGCATTCCTTCTACTTTTTACTGAAAAGCTACTTAAACAAAAGATGCTATGAAGTTAAACTGAACAACACCACGTCTGATCTGTTTGAAATCAGATCAGGGGTGCCTCAGGGGAGCATATTAGGGCCTATACTGTATCTTATATTCACTGCTGACATCCCTGTTGATGATGAAACTTTTATTGCCTCATACGCTGATGATACTGCAATAATATCAGTTAATGCCAACCCAACAATCGTATCAGCACATCTCCAAAAACATATTGATGAGATAGAAAAATGGATGAAAATATGGAGAATAAAGGCTAATCAAAGCAAATCAGTTCACGTCACCTTCACTTTAAAAAAAGGCGACTGTCCACCAATTACACTGAACGGAGAAGAAATCCCACACGATAGTGCCGCGAAATACCTAGGTATGCATCTGGATCGGAGGTTGACCTGGCAGAAACATATCTGGAGCAAAAGAAAAGCCCTGGACGCAAAATTAATATCTATGTATTGGCTGATTGGCAAAAAGTCTCAGCTAACAAACGAAAGCAAAATAGCAGTTTACAAAAATATTTTGAAGCCAGTATGGACATACGGCATAGAACTTTGGGGAACAGCAAGTAATAGCAACATAGAAATCCTGGAAAGATTTCAGACTAAAGCTATTAGATCTATGTTCAACATTCCAAAATGCATTCACAATAAATATAATCTGCACGACTTGAGGCTAAACATTGTGAAACAAGAAATCGCTGCTCGAAGCTTAAAATACCAACAAAAATTTACTTCACATGTTAACGCTCTGGCTGCTAAATTAATGGGTTTTGGAAGTACCGTGTACACAAGACTGAGAAGGAATAGCGTTCCAAATCTCGTGAAACGATTTACCAAAGAATAGTGGGAATGGTCAATGGACAACCCCCCTGCTTTAAGAAAGAAATAATCACACATAGCTCAGACAAGGAAACAGCTAAATGTCCACGACAGATTGCTGTGTAAGCGGGATAGAAAAGAAAAAAAATTATTGTAATAAGCGCCCTTTGTTATCCAGTAATGTAACTACCCTCACCCTTATTCTATAAAAAATTACCAAATGAATTATTGATTGACGAACGTTTATCGTTTAGTGTTATTGATGAAAAAATATTATACAGAATGTCAATTTAATCATCTACAATGTTTAGGGAGGTGAAACAGTAAATGATACTGTACGCATACTAATAAACAAATCAGGTGGGCCTGTGTCAGGGCACATGGCCGTTGGTTTTTTATCAGCTAGTAGAACCAGTACAACCAATGAACGAAATAGCCTTTTTAAAAATATTTTAATACTATTTTGCAACACCAGGAGAATTGCAGATGCATTGCCGGCCTTTTGAAACGGAGTAAGCTCGTTTCTTGAGGGTCCCTAAGTTGTATTGGTCCGTGAAAATCGCCAATGGTAAACGATTCTAAAAAGTATTCATGCGAGGAAGAAAAAACCTAATAAATATCACGCAACGTAAGTTTATTCGCGATTTGTGTCAGTAAAATTTAGTAGCTGGAATAAATCCAAACAATTCCTCAGAGCACTCCGCGTGGTTAATATGATAAAAAACACAAAGGAGTGCAACATCTGTACGCAGTGACAGTGAATCGAGTCAATCAAAGAGAACTCGTTTGTCGACGATTCGATCCGCTCTGCGCTTTATGCGGTCAAGTGGAAGGACCTCGCACTGGGGAGCTCTGATCCAGAGATGAGAAGAATATTTCCATTTAAGGCTGCGAATTCAGATTTATCTTCCGAGTGACCACGACACTGCAGGTCATTCGATATGTCGACGCTGAAGATTCTGATACTGGCTGCGGCAAGGAGCAAAGTGCCCTAAAATTGAGGTTATACGACCAAGGGATTCTTTTTAGCGGTAAACGTGCAATTTTGTGAATGATTTGTAAAATTATTTATTTTGTAACGACTTTTAAGTTCAGCGTTTTCCTAAAATGTGTTAGATTTAAAGTGTATTTTTATGAAAGGAACAGATGTCAAAAACATGGAGGCCTTTTCGGATTTCTAGTTTCTCGATGTACCTTTGACGACGACTGACCAATTATATGCTATTATTATAGCGTCTAATGAACCGAGTGAAATCAGTGAGTCATCTAAGATGCCAGGACCTGAAGGTCCCCAGGTCTTATCGTTCCGGAAGAATCGCCGGTGGTAAACTATACCACAGAGAGGTCGTACGCGGAAGAAACAGACAGTGGTGTGCCGCCAAGCATTCAGATGGTGTGGTGTCACGAAATTTGGCGCTTGGGATTAATCCGAATAATTCCTCAGTGCACTCCCCGTTATAGATGCGATAAAATACGCAGAGATGCAACATCTCTTCGCAACACCAGTGAATCAAGCTGATCGGAAAGCACTCGGTCGTCGACGATTCGAGCCGCTCTGCACTGGATGCGGTCAAGTGGAAGGAGTTGGCACTGGAGAGCCCCAGCCCAGAGATGGGTATTCCATGTGCGGCCGAACCTGCGCCTTTTAAAGTTGCAGGCGGTGTGCCGGCATGAAATACTATCCCGATCTGCTGATACGCCAAGCTTTTTAGAGGCAAATTTGGCCTTCTCTTCCAAGTGACCACGAAACTGCACGTCACTCGATATGTCGACACCAAGGAACTGAGGAGATACGACAAATGGGTTATTTTTAGCGGTTAACGCGCAAACTTGTGCCTTCTTAGGGTTAAACTGGACTAGATTTAGTCGCCCCTAATCCGAGACTTTGTTCAGCAAGTAAGTGTAAACACCGTTGTCCTTGAAACCAGGGGTTTAATTTCACTTATAGAACGTAAATTCAATGAAAAATAACAACTTTTTTTTTTAGTAAAATCTAAATTTTTCCTTAATTCCTCAATTTTTGCCTATCCTAAGCCAGGATGAAAGTATGAAGAAAAAGTTATATCATAGGTTATGTGTACCTATTGTGTTTTTATGTTGAATGTTATGTAGGTAGCTAGCGCGGGCGGTGATCTTTACAGTGATTACGTAACTCGGGCGCATAGGGTATCCATGAATTTACGGATGGTGTCGGACAGAAAGTTTTTAAATTTTATGAAAGAAAATAGCGTTTATTTTTTTAAATTCATTGAATTCACGTTCTATAAGTGAAACCAAACCACTGGTTTCAAGGACAACGGTGTTTACGCTAACACCCTGATATATATATATATATATATATATATATATATATAAAAAAAAAAACATATCTTATTTTTTTCATTATAAATATTTTCTTGACAAAAAATATCTTTCTCCCTAATTTACACTGTAAAAGTCTGGAATGAATTCGAAGTAAAACTCTTCGCACCACCTACCGGAATGAGCAGAACAACGTCTGACTGGCGAGCTAGTTAGGTATTTAAAATCATAACATATTTTTTATCATACCTTTCGTATTTCAACCCTACTTTCAATGACGAAAGTGCCACATTGCCTCCCGATTCTATGACTTATTAATTTATTCGCGTGCGTCAAATTTCTAGCTTTATTGTTTTTAAAACGTCAAAAGTAATACCTACGTCATGATACGTTTTAAGGTACATTCATTCGATTAAGGTATGTTAAAAAATAGTATACGTGCAACGGGAGGAAAGTATGACATCGAAACTCGCGTTATTATCACTGTGTGTTACTATTACTGATGTATACTGATACTTGATTTCTAAAATGTTTTGTGAATTTTATGAGATTTTTCCATCGCAGTTACTATAATATTATATGGTATACGATTTAAAAAGTTTTATTGTTTTTGAGAATGATATTTTCACTGTTTTCCAAGGATCACTGATCTGAATGTTCTCTTAATCAGCACTAATTATATCCGCAAAATAGAACTGGATGCCTTTGGTCATTGCTTTTATTTTATATATCTTCTAAGTATATACATAATACGAAAACTAAATATTTAGGCGTTTCTTTTACATAGATTTTCCCCTTTTCGACCTTTAGAAAGTAATACAGAAAATATGAACAGTGGGGTGGTATAGGTCCCAACGAGTACATGATCATTTATTATGATTTTACAAATTTCGTGTTTTAGATGTTTTTAATGGTAAATTGAAAAAAATCGTAAAATTTATAATAACGTTATAAATTTTCATGAAAGACCAACAGTAGATAAAAACTATTATAAAAAATGTGTAATTTCCATAGTTCAAATTACAAACTAATTGGATACAGTAATAATAAAACTAACAATTCAGTCTAATTTCTTTTATTTGTAAAAAAAAACAATAATTATTTTAAATAATACAATGAGCACATGCGCTTATTGCCCGGGAAAAGAAACAAATGGTCTTCCGGAGCAAGAAGGAGCATTTAGATAAATCTCAACTTAGATCGCAACAAAATATGCAAGCCGTAGCGACGCCTAAGTGGATTACGAGATCTAATAGAGAAAATGAAAGAGCATCGGTTTTTAAAATATTAAAATTGTACGAATCAGAGCAAGAGAAATATAATTTAACAAATTTTGCGCTTTTCGACACACTGTCCTAACCCCTATAAAATACTGTCATTTAGTGCAATAAATAAAGACTATGTGCAATCACATTTATACTCTAAATGATCTATATCTATATTCATAAGGTTCATAATTGATTAGATATATCAAATTCGTTTTGTACCTAATTTTGTTGCATTCTATAATGAATGAGCATATTAGTTTACTTTACGGCTTCGGCGTATGATCCACCTGACTTTGTTCTTACATTATCAATACTAAAGGAACTACAACTATGCAGAATGATCGCGCTGGTGGCAGCGCATGTCGTGCTCTAGTAGCTAGCAGTAATGGCAACGTGGCGCCGAGCTGCGAGCAGCGCCCGCCATTTCTCGTGTTGACTAGCTTGATTGCTTACATATCAATCGTTTTCTCGTTTCTTACTAAAATAAATAACTTATCTAATAAGAAAAGCCTTCGACTTCACTCTTTAGATTGACGTTGCGATTGGCGCTGGTAACGTCAAACCTTCATCTTACACCCTTTTATTTCTAGATTACTATAAGTAATAATTTGTCCAGTTAGTACATTTATCATGTTCAACCGGTCCAGCCCGGTCTTGAGTTAAAATAATAAAGCAGCTACAACATTTTTCGTCATAGCTAGCGGATCAATTGACAGTACAATTAAATTTGACAGGGTAATTTATACTCTATATCTAATAGTCTCTACATTAACTTATAGTTTCAAGAACGAAACTTATTCACTATAAAATGCTGACAAGCTGAGGTTTCTTCAATAGTCCTCTAGGCTTTCACTGCGCTGAGCTGGAAGCATCAGTGGATTTTTCCACTAAGCTTTCTCCGGCGTCTATAGTGGTAATGCTGAGGTCTGATGCAACTGTAGTTTCATCTGAATTTCTTAGTTTTTCTGTTGACATTTCCGAAGAATTTGCAAATCCATCTGTGGTTATTTCATCCACAATATGTTTTTCGTTACTTTTTTTCATTATTACTTTAGTTGGCCGTTTATTTATTGTAGGTACATAAGATTTCGTTATAATTTCGATATCTTTGTTCTGAGTTTTATTCTCAGGTTTGTCATCTGATACGTTGTCTATAATAGGACGCCTTGTTGTTGGTTCTACTTTGTCATTCGGAGGTGGTGAGTCAGTTATTGAGTCGGTCTCATCATCTTCAATCTCAACATTCTTATGTTTAGTAGCAGGTGATTTAGTTTTTAATGGCACTTCAGTAATAGAGTTTAAATTCCAATTCTTATTTTTGCTTTTATAACCGGCATTAACTGGAATTAATTCTTCTGAATCAGAAATTGTGCTAGGGCTCACAGTATGATGTTCGCCATCAGATCCATCAGTGTGATCACCAATCAAAGCGACATCACCGACTATGTTAATCAAATCTGCCAAAACATTGTTTCCTTTATGTGATTGATCAACGATTGCCGAGTTACGATCGGTGTCTGAAGAAATTTTAATTAATTCGACACCATCTGTTGTAATTTCTTGTGAACCAAAAGATGGCAGAACAAACTCTGTTGTTTCTATATTGTCGAAAGAATCATTAAAACCATCGGATGGTACTAATTTAGGCACTGTGAAAACATCAGAATCAGTTGACAAAATTTTAGTAGTTTCAAGATCTAAGGCCAGTGGGTCAATAGTAGGAATCGGAGCTTTATCCTTGGTGATATTTTCTGAGGAATCGTGCGGATTCTGATCACTTGTTTCAATTGGCAAGGAGCTTAGTTCAGTTTGTGATGTAACTTCAGTTCCAACATTAGATTTTGAAATGGAGCTTGTGGTATGCTGTGTAGAATTATGGAAAGCTTCAAAGCCGGTCAAATCGGGCCTGTGTGTGCTCGTTGGAATATTGTTTTCTTCGTTAATTTGGTTTGGTAGTGAGGTTGACAGTGTCATTAGTATAGTCTCAGTCGTATCATTTAATTCCAACGAAGTTCCTTCGGACGCATGAGTTAAAACGTTTAGCATCTCTGTAGGCATAACTGACCGTAAATTTAACATCGAATTCTCTCTTGATTTTGGTGTTACTGTTCCAACATATTCTGATTTAGTTGAACTCATGTCGAAAGACATATCTTGCGAATTGTCCCATGATACTGATGTTGCTTCGGACATATAGCTTGATGAAGTCGTCGCTGCTTCTTCCGCTTTAGCCGATTCTGTAGAAGTGGTTAGAGTACTTGCTACGATTACAGTTTCATGGGTTCCAGATACATGCTCATTGTCCATATTTTGTTCAGTAAGAATTTCATCTTCATGGTTACCTAAAACGGATAGGTCATCAGGTAGTGGCGGAAAAGCTGGATTATGATCAAATATGGAAGAATCTTCTTCCTCAACCATGGAAGCTTTACTAGAAGGTACTGATATCACATTTAGAGTCAATGACGGCGATCCTATTGTGGCTGCTGAACCGGGTATATTAGAGGTATAAATATTATTACTATTTATAGAGTCCTGTGTTGGAAAGCTTATTTTGGATGGAGGGTCGTTTGTGCTCTTTAAAATAGTGTCTTCACTGGTTATTTTAGATGTTTCCGTGGAAAGTGAAGAATCAGAAGATAACGGAGACTGATCATTTCGCATTTCAGTTGATTCTAGTTTTATAACGGATTTACTAGTTTGTGCCTTCTCAGACGTGACCTCTCGTGGGATAAGTGGAGACTTGGATGAAGAATATTCGGCAACTTCAATACTAGGTGAAGGTATAATCTCCTTTATTTTTACTTCAGTGATAACTGGGATCTCAGAGACGGGGGTGATTTCCTTTATAGTGATTTCTTGTTTAACGGGTTCTTTTAATGAAATTGGCACAACACTAGTGTTAATTTCTTCAAACGTGGGAATGTTTGATATTGCAGGCGCTTGACCGGTAATCGTTGATACACCTGAAAAAAAAAACATAATTCAATTACACTTTTATGGATTAAATACTATTTTTATAAATGAAGACAATTGGAAATAACGGATAATAAGGTAATTGTAAATTGTCTTGCAACCTACTATGTATTATTTTTAATAGAAATAGGGACAATGGTGATCTGATCTCACGATTCATCAGATGATAAGTGAATGTTGTTCACTATAAACAACCCCAGAAACTCTCCGTTAAGAATCAAAATGCAAATTCGTTGTCACCTCTGAAAGCTAAAATCGAATGTCCAGTTACCAATAAAAATCGGCTGCGGTTATCGTCACAGCAGCATTGTGCTAGCATTTTACGCAGATAATCTGTACAGGCGTAGAACTTCCCCGGTTGAGCCGATTCATTGGTGCTGGAGCCATAATTCAACTGCAGCGTGGTAACCACGTGAACATGTATTATTCTGCATGTTATCCATTCAACAGTCACAAACGCCGGGATGGCGCGCACTAGATAGTCCAAACAGCCGCTGCGGCTTTCTATTAATTCACGGATTCGTTACCTGTTTATATTTATGGAATGGCTTATTGATTCACAAAGCTAGATAACAGATAATTTTTAAACTGTAATTCGTTAACAAATTTGAAGAATCGTCAATTAAATCGCACCAATTCAGTGCTTGTTCATTTTATCTCTCATTTAGTGTTTTCTAGTTTATTATTGCTGAAAATATCAGAGTATCGAGAAATATAAATTACCTTTAATATTTACACGTAGTTTTAGGTGTTTCATTCACTTTTGTTGCAAAATTAATGTTTTATTTTTTATTTTTTACAAAACCTTTTTGGCTACCATCATATTTAAACGAGCTTATTACTTCGCTTTTAGCACTAATATTATACTATAATATAAACTTAGATGAGGAAAACGTTTTAATTATATTTTTTGTATAAACCACGTCATCATTCCATAAAATACAAGAATTAAGTAAAATATGAAACTTTTTGGCAGGGGCAGTATTAGATAGCCGCAATCATTGAGTTCTACAAAACTAGAGGAGCAAACCACATTACCGCGCGTCGAAAAAAGTGTAACCACTATCCAACCGTGATGACGTAGCTTTGAAATTACTAAACATTTTAATATCAACATATATCTGTCTCACTTACACAAGTTGCGAAAAAAAACCGTCGCTAAGATTAGATAAAGATAGACACACAAAACATGCAATGGCGGATTGGTGTGGCTTACTATATGAAATTTAACCCAAAATACGCAATAAAAAGGAGTTTTTAAGGTGCATATAATTGTTTTTATTTAAAAAAAAGTTTATTTTCTTATCAGGTGAATAGAAGTTACCATAACTGATAAATATAACATATTTTTTATATATATTTTTATTTTACTAATAAATAAAACGGTATAAAATAGGTAATAAAATATATTTAATAGATCATTCGTGAATAAACTAAAATAAGTATAATTAATTATTTTGCATGAAAGTTAAAACGTAGTTTTTATTATAATTTCCAAAACATTTAAAATCAGAGGTAACAAATTAACTTACTCCTTAATAATATAGTCACCCGTTAATGTGGTATAATCATAAAGACGGCAAAGTGGCAACATTTAACCTAAATTGCAGTGTTCGATAATTTTATTTAATTATTTGAAGTTTTTACGTTTATATGAAAACATGAACTAAAACTTATGTGTGGAAAGTGATTCCGCTTGATTTATTATGTTTTTGTGACCTTGAATCGCATTCTTTCACTACGCATTTACCCATTTTTTGTCGCGGATCGTTCGGCTTAACTCTGTCGGCGTCACATTGAACACTGAAGCTGAACTGACGTTAGCTAGGCGTACGGCTGTGGTCATATGTGCAGTGGCAACGTTTTGGCACGGTAATTACTAATCTATTGTAGTGTAATATATACATCAATGGCCGCAATGGCGTTTATGTTAAAGGGTTAAGTTATTTGGAGAGGAAACGTTTATACCATAACAATCGATCAAGGAAAATGTTTACAATACACGTTCTAACAATAATTCAATTCACCTTTCCAGTAAGATTGATAAGTATATATAATTGTACACAATGCGTATTACATTATCAATTATACAACGTCAATGTTTGTTATGGAAAAATTCTTAATAAACTCCATTCAACATGAAAAGAACTGTTTTCAAAATAATTGTACTAAGCTTAATAGCAACATGTGTCTTCAATTACGTATAAATAACAGCTCTACATCGAGCTCATATTTCTGGGTGTATTGACACGTGAACCTAATAATTTTAACTTTTAATACTCGCAAGTGATAACAATGAATTATTACATCATCATCACAGCACACCAAAAATCTACTGCTAAATATTGGGTATTTTTATAGAATAATGTGGACAAAGTGCACACAGTCCATCTAATGGTAAGTAGATGCGGTGGCCTATGGATGTCTACATCTATCCTGTCACCCCTGAGGACTAAGATGAAATGTCTCGTTTCCAGTAAATACTGGTCTCCTATTCTATACACCCACAATATTTGAGCTTGGTCCTTCCCAGGTTGACCTACTCCATTCGCGCTGTAACTATAAAATAGCTTCAGTATGTGTCTACCACGTCCTCTATCTGATCTGATCTCCCTAATCGATGCCCAAAATCAAGATTCTAGACCAACTGCTTCCATTCTGGATCAACCTGGATGTATTATCAGGCGGATAACCAAAAATACTCTTGCCAGTGCGAGGCTGCCACGCGATGACTTTTCTTCCCTTTCAGTTGTATGTTTTTTGAGTCAAATATTTAGCACTACAAAAATCTATATTTCAAGTCCTCTCTACAACGTAACGTTGTAAAGTAAGTGTAAGTGGCTCATGTTTATTTAAGAACTGAAACGGACCGATAAAGAATCAATAAATGAACCGAAGATCACTAGACCTAGTGCTTAGAATAGGTGGCTTCTACGCCACGTATACTGGATACGAATACCAGTAGAAGCAACAATTGTAAAAATAAGTAAAACTTATGCATGTAGCGTAGCGTAGTAGCATTTGGTAAGTCTAGAGAAGCGGAGACTCTTTTTGGACAAGGCATTTCATCTTAGTTAGTGATTTTTAATTGAGGATATATGTAGATGTCTATGAACCACAGCATCCATTTATCATAAGGTGGACTGTGTACTCGTTTGCCACCCATATTCCGTAACAAAAAAGAATATTTTTCGGTCTAGTTGTTAGAGACAGAGATCACAATGACACACCACACACCACAATGTGGACTACTTGCACCAACAAGCACGTGCTTACTTACTTCACTACACATCACGTTTACGTTTTTACGTGGTAACGCCACGGTGCAGCTGTATTATTGATGCAGCGTGCAACACGAATCAAGCTCAATCGGGGAAGGAAGTTTAATGCTGCTGTTTCGTCGATGAGAGTAGAGAACCATATACCCTTTTTACTGGTACCGAGACATTTCATCTTACTTAGAGGTGAAGACGCATTAGCATTTTGATTGTTAATCGAGGATAGACTTAGGTGTCTAAGGCATCCACTAAACGCTTTGTTCTTGTTTGCCAGATTACTCTGAGCTGGATTAGTCTAAAGCTTAGACCAATTGGGTTGAATGGTATTTTTGGGTTGATTACATAGGGGTCTTAATATGACTTAATCCAGTCACAGAATTGTCACTGAAATATACTTTGGAGTAGGCAGTTGTCATATTGGAGACAGTAGCTAGCAAGGCACACCACGCATCTATGGAGCATATATACAAAAAGATATATTAAGTGATATGGGAAGTTGGAAAAAAGGACTCCTCTATCGAACATCTGTATTTGTTAGGAACTTTTACAAGGCTTAAACCAACCATATGGCGACGCCATGGTTACTGCAGCACACCTCGGGGTAAGCAGTTGTCGTATTCGGAGCAGTAGTGGGCTAGTAACTAAGCATCTATGGAGTCTCAGAAAAAAGGAATAATACGTGATTTAGGACGTTGGAAAAAGGGAGGGTGAAGGCACTATACTCTCAGTGTCCAGGGGAATTCACGTAGCAAAATCCAGCCCTACGATCATGTCACTGCAGTACATACGTCATGTAGAAAGTGGGAAGAAGAGGAGGGATCGAGTACTTGCATTGCCTAGGGGTCTTTATAAGACTGAATCTGGCCCAAGGATTGTCATTGTATCATACCTCGGAGTGGACAGTTGTCGTACTCAGGGCAGCAGCGGCCTGGCACGTGACGCGGCGTGCAGTCGTCCCGCACGAAGCACGCGATGCGCCGGCACACCACCTCCCCACCCTGGCAGTAGCACACACGGCACGGATCTGCCGGGTCTACCAGCTTCTCACCATTGCCGTACACGCGGCCTTCTTGCTCGCATTCTGTAAGATATATAGACAGTTCTTTGAATAGAGTTCGATTAGATAAGATGACTGCTTCGTCGGTCCAGACGTCGCCAGCGCGACAGCTGAAATTGGGTTTGAAATTGATCCGTTTTCGTGTCGGGAAAAAATTACTTATTCTTCTGTCAAGAAATTTTCAACAGCAAACCGGAGTCAGGAAGTTGGAGGTGCTGCGCCTAATCTCACTCCGGGCTCGTACGATTTACGTCCCCTCGGACTATGAGAGTGAGCAATGGAGAGTGCACTCGTGCCTGCGCAGACATTCGTGTATCTATTGTACCTTGTCCTGCGTAGATAGCTAGTATCCGCGGAGACTTCCTAATTTTCCTAATAATATCTAAAAATATTTCTTCGGTTGACAACCTGCCTGTCAGGCGTGCCAACTATGAAAAATATCCCCCCCCCCCCCCATATGTGCAATATGTGGGAGGGGGGGCTTTGTTTAGCAGTGGACTTAGATAGGCTGTAAGGGTAATTTTCATAACGTTTCGTCTATATAATACCGCTGCCAAACCTTTTTTATTAGTGTTCCGTAAGAAATTCAACAAAATAGAACACTTTGTATCCACGTTAGTGTCACAGAGTTTTTACGTCAGTGTTTCAAATAAACAATTGAACTTTTACGTACCAAAATCCACTTTAAACCATTATTTATACAATAAAACCAGAGCAGCACTCCGACGGCGGTGAAGTTCCCGTCAAAACTCTTCAAACATGTTATAACATGAAATAGCTTACCGCACTGGTAGGTAGGGCAGCAGTGATCAGGACGGTGAAGTGCCTTGCAGCCAGGCCGCGGCTCACAACGCTGCTTGGCGCACTGCACCCCTCCCCCGGTACACGTGCAGCGTTCGCATGCGTTCTCCCCGGGGAACTCGTCACCAGGCATGTATACTACATCTCCCAAAGCGCATCCACCTGGAAATTTGAACATTCTTTCTTTTATAGCTTATAGATTACGATGCAGAAGATTATAAATGTGCCTTCAAGACGGATCGACATACGTCTGCAACATTTTTATGTTCTTCATCAGTCTTCAGAACAGAATACTGATGAATTATGCAGGACCTACTGATGAAGTATTAAAAAGTTAAACATTTTTATTAACCAAAATTGCTTAATAAGAGTTATTATACTACTAAATACATGATTTATGATAACCCCTGGAAATTAGGTTTTTTTTTATTATTATTCTAAGCCAGCGCTTAGCTATAACCCCATCTGATGGTGAGTGAGTGGTGTAGCCTAAGATGGTGAAGCGCACTGACTAAACAAAAACCTATTCACTCTTCTCTTAAATCCATAGGTCATCATTAGCAGTTACACCATAAATGTAATATATTATACAAATACAGGAAATGAGGTATTCTATCTTACTCCTCAGTGGTGACAACCTCTCGGCAGAAAGTATTGAGGTGACAACGCAACTTTGCCCTTCCTTGTTTGAAATTGGTGGCAGGTGGGTGGCATGGGTTGCATAATTACGTACCATCAGGTGGACTGTAGCTGACTTTTTTTTTTTTTTTTGTTAAAAAAACGTTACCCCTACACTAAGATTTTCTCTTGTATCGTGGGGGCAGTTTACAAACATAAATTGCACAAGGACAAACATCCAGACCCGGAACAACTATTTGTAGGCCATACATATACTTGTTCCGTGCGGGATTCGAACCCGCGACCCCTAGCGCAGCCACTCATTGCTAAGCCACTGCGCCACGGAGTCGTCCTGGCTGGTGTAAGAATATCCGCTACCCCATATCATCACGTGGGTGTCGTAGGAGGCGACGGAGCGAAACTGAACTAGGAGATGGGCAGCAGAGTCTTTCTGATAATAGCTGTCTAATAATGAACAACTGTGGATGCCAAATCGCTTGCCAAGCTTGGCCATCCATTGTCCATTACAGCCTATAAAATTCCACTGCTGAACATAGGCCTCCTCCATAAATTGTCTCATGGGGAGGTTTCTTTATAGTTGCCACGCTTGGCAAGCGTGTTGGCAACTGGAATTTTTTGTAATTTTTAGCTGTTATCAGAAAGACGTTGCTACCCATGTCGTGTATGTTTCCCTCCGTCGCCTCCTACGACACCCGTGCGACGGTATGAGTAATGTAGGAGATCTTACATCGCCACTACGCAAGAATGTCTTGGAAGCATGAATGTATTGGAAGCAATTCCGCAGTTGCAAACGTGGCAATCAAGTGTTTAATGCTTAATGTTAAACATTTACTTTAATTACATATTTACCTTCTTTCAGACCGAGGTCCAGACTGGTTACGTTTGGTAGATGCCCTAGAGGTCCTGAAACAAAAAAGACACAAAATGAATCATCTGGCGATAAGCATAAGTTAAGGAAATATCAATGGATCATTAATCTAAAGTGGCAATGGACTAGCCGTATGTCTTGAAGAATCAACAACCGATGGGCAAAAAAAGTTCTCAAGAGGCAGCCTTGTACCGGTAAAAAAAACTTCAAGTATAAATTAAGTAATAGATATAAAAATATCAATTACATAATTTGTGTACAAATTATAGTCGTTAATAAAATAAAATTTTTCAATTTAGGTTATTTCAAATTCTTGCTAGAAAAACATAACGTAAAAAATATTGAATACTAGCCCGGTACCCGCCGCAGCCGCAGAAGAAATAATTGTGTAAATATCAGGAAGTTGGAGGTGGTTGGTAAATATCATTTTAAATTTGAAAGACTTATATTGTTTATTTACGAATGATATATAACTTCAAGAAGATTTGTCGGTACGATACGCGCGCCATCTACTATATGTTAGTTCTACGCTGCCGATAACCTTCGTGCACGTGCAAGCACAACGTTTTAGCGTAATCTCATGTGTTGACAAAGTTTTAATATAATCTGCTGAACGGTATGGCAGCCCATAAAATACGAACAAACAAACATTAATTTTTATACATAAGATTTAAATATTTGTCTACTGAGCAAAAACACTTTTCTACAAAGACTTTTTTAACTTTATACAAAAGCAAAAGCAAAGATTCTAACCTTAGGTTTAAGTTGTCTTCAATTAAATATTATTAAAGAATACTAAACTTCTAAGTACTTTTTCTTCGTTTATAAATTTTATGTCCACTAAAAAGTCTCCTTTTTAAAGAAAACGATAAATACTTAATGAGAACTGAAAAATTGCTTCTCCCAAGTTAAAAACGACCTTTATTTATAATCCTTAAGATATTTCCAAGCAATTTTTAATTCCCGCACAGGCTCAATGAATGTCTTTACCCCATCGAGCCGCCTAATTTCGCCTGCCTTTGTAAAGCCGAAACCCTTGAGGAACAAAAGAATCTCGGCGTTGAATCGTTGCAGACTAATTGCCCACCCTCTTGACTTCACTCCCCTTTTCCCAAGATGTACAACATTAAACGATTTGCACAGTGAACGGAAGGCTTCCAACTGAAAGCTAGCTGTAGTGACTTCTCGTTATATATTTTTGAATTTTTACTTACTACGTAGTCAAATGTCGAAAGGATGTTATAAAATAATTATAATTTATAAGTACTTGCGATTCGACAATCTATGGAGTTTCAGAACAAACATACAAACGTGTTTATCACTTGTATATGTTTGTTATTCTCATATACCCTGGTTTTGCCGTGAGATGAAACTTTCACGTGGTGGAGCCACGTTGCAGTTATATCAGTAGTATAGTTGTAGCACGAATGGGTCGGCTCGACCGGGGAAGGTCCACGCTCTCACATAATACCAGCGTAAAATAGTAGCTTACTGCTGCTGTGTTTCGTATGGTAAGTGTAGAGAACCGGAGACCCTTTTTACTGGAAACGAGGCATTCCATCTTAGTCCTGCTGCGTATCTACATTTTGATTCGTAATCGAGGATAGATGTAGATGTCTGTGCCCACAGCAACCACTTACCAACAAGTGGACTGTATGCTCGTTTGTCACCCTATCCTACAAAAAAAAAGTCATCGGATTTTACAGTTAGTATGTTAGTAATTTAAAATAAATATCGAAATAAATTACAAGTATTTATTCAAAAGTAGATATTTATTATTTTTAGCTATAAAAACCGCGAAAAAATTAAATAAATGTCTTATATTACACCCTTCCTCATCTGCGTGAACTATCCCCACCAGGAAAGATGCACTACCGTCGATAATAGATGTTTCGTCTCTTAACGAGGCATCATCTGGATAAATAGATTATTTACGACAACCGTTTGCAGAGCCTATGTGGTGTGTATTTTGTAGTGTCAACTACACTGATGGGAGTAGTGGTGATGAGATTGAAAGAGGGTGATTTTTTAAAACTAGGATAATAGAATCATAATTTTTACTTTATTTTACGCGGATATTAGGTAATTAATTACAGTTATACTATTGTAAGTAAGTAGTGTCACTTGTTAAAATTAAAAGTACATATTTATATTGTTTTTGAGCCTTGACAGCTTATGGGCATTTGCTTAAGCAACCCAGGTTCAATCCCCGACGATGACGGTAACAATGATTTTTTTAATTATTATTACATGCACTGATGCACCTTGCCCGGGGGATAAAATAATTCAGAGGCTTAAAAAATGCGCTAACTGGAGCAGCGCGGAGAACAACCGTGAAGTGACAGCAGACCTGTGCTCAGCAGTAAAAGGTACTTATAACTTACTTATAACTAGTGCCCCACCACGGCTTCGTCTGGGTAAGATCTATTAATGTGGCGTAATTAGTCACAAAATAAATCTTCCAGATTTTCGGATATAGCTTAGATCAATCCCGGTATTGCTGACATCTGGTCGTGAAGTTCCATCGCGATCCAATCAGCCGTCCCGAAGATTAGCCCGGACAAACGGACAGACAACAGTTGTACAAATTATTGATGTTTTAATAGCAAGCAGATAACTCCCTTAATTCAGTAAAAGACAGTTATTTCGATCCGTTCGAGTTACAAACAAACACTTTAATTTTATTTATGTGTTTACATGATCAAGGGTAAAAGTTAGAGGCTTATAACTTTTATACATTTACATCATTAGATCCATTTGATTAGCTAAAAAATTTTTCTATATTTTAAACAAATTATTCAAATAATTTCAATAAACTTAACCAAAAAAAATCACATTTACTGGTATCACAAAGAACTGTCAGTTATGGATTACACTACGCCAGGATAAATTAGTACGTGGGAGGTAATGACCAAAAAGATTAATACATTTCATTCCTTTGCCTTTTTAAATTAATGATTTCACTGAACAAATTATTTTTCACAGTCAGAGCCTTATTACTATTTTTGTTCAAACAAATGATATCGTCCCGTTAGTGCGCAAGCGACGACAGACGTAAACTGAAACAGTTGATGAACAGCAGCATCTTCCTGATAACATGTACAGTAAAAAAACTGCGGTTGCCAACCCCTGGCGGGTTGTGGTGTGGTGGAAAAGTAAAATAGTAATTTAATATTACTTAAATACTTATTTTTTTAAGTACTTGAATTAATAATTCCATCTTTCAATATTCTGCACACCTACTTCATATTTTTTATCTCAGCATCACCCAAAGATTGACTGCCTCAGGCATTAATTCCGCCTATATTTCAAATAAAAAGGTAAATAAAGAAAACATCAAAGAACAAAAATAAAAAACGTATAATTTCCGTATAATAATTTAAAGTTTCGGGGCTAAGACTACGGGGCTAAATACGAAGTATTTAAACCCCTACTCCAGAAGCTAATTTGTAGAAATTATTTTATTACTTACTTATCTTCACGCACAATCCCTAACGGGGTAGCCAGATAGAACAGATCGCCAAGTGTCACGATCCTTACATACCTCTTTCGCTTCTTTCAGGTTCATTAACTTCTTCATACATGCACGTCTAGGTATCCGAGTACTCTTGACCTTCCCCTCTTCGAGTAATTTGCTCACATGGTCTTCGAAAGTTAGACTCGGTCTACCTCGACACCTTTTAATATTTACTTTCGCGCTATATATTTTCTTCACTATTCGGTCTTCACTCATTCGCTCAACGTGCCCAAACCATCGGAGTACGCCCCTATCAATTTTTGTGATAAGGTCATCTTTCAATCCTGCCATATTGCGAATCTCTTCGTTTCGCTTTCGGTCGGCTATGGTTTTTGGCACATTTTGCGAAGAGATCGCATCTCCACTGCATTCAACTTGCTTTTATGCTTCTTCTGGCATACCTAGGTTTCGCTGCCATATAACAATGTCGGCACCAACACTGCGTTATATATTGCAAGGCGTGCACTCTTCACTACGCCTTGCTTTTTAACTAACGCATTCAGGGCACCATTGACTGTTCCCGGCAGCAATTATTCTTCTATTCTTTTTAATTTTTTTGAAGTTGGTTTTTTTATTTTTTTTTAAGTTAAGATGCGAGAGAGGTGTGTCAGAATTGAGCTAAATAGAAGAGCTTACATTTAGCAAAAGCCAATTAGGTGCCAAGTTTAAAAATTAAGTGCTCTAAAATTTTTACCGCAACGAACTGTTGAAATTTATTGGCAAAACGTATTGCTAGCAACGCAGTGACGTCATGCAGCATGCTGCAGCTATATTAAAATTGTAGCACGAACGGCTTGACTCTACTGGTTATATAGAGAATAAGGGTGAAAAACGAGCATACAGTCCACCTGATGGTAAGTGGATGCTGCGGCCCACAGACATCTACATTTACCATCGATTAAGAATCAAAACATAGATGCGTTGTAGCCCCTGTGGACTAAGACGGAACGTCTCGTTTCCAGTAAAAAAGGTCTCCGGATGTCTACACTCACCATACGAAACACAGCAGTATTAAGCTGCTATTTTACGCTATCTGCATTTTTTCATATAGGTAAAAAGTTTATATGACGTTATGTACTCGTATATCCCCCACACTAAAACTTTTTCCTGTATCGTGGAGGCAGTTTACAAACATATATTGCACAAAGATAAACATCCAGACCCGGAACAATTATTTGTAGGCCATACAAATACAAGGTACAGCAGCTCGGAAGGTGGTAGTATAAAGGCCGTAATTTTACTTTCTCAACATTTAGATAACTTGTTATCTATACATATACAAATTGAAGTATCTGTCTTTAACTCTAATATCGAAATAACTATTTTTCGATATTAGAGTTAGAAATGATATTATTGAGCTGAGGGAGTTATACCAGTATAACCTAAATAATAATTAATAAACAAATTGTCTCTGTCTAGTGTAGTCTTCGGAACGGCTGAACTTAACAGACAGATAAAACTTAACAAACAGATAACGAGCAACGCCAGGAGAGAACTATGTTATATTTCGGCCAAAAA